CCGCAAAAAGAAGAACAGGAGTACTTGTGGCACCTTAGAGCCTAACAAATTTATTTGAGCATAAGCTTTCATGGGCTACAGCCCACTTCATCGGATGCATAGACTGGAACACACAGTAAGAAGCTATTGATACATACAGAGAATATGAAAAGGTGGGAGTAGCCAGACCAACTGTAAGAGGCCAATCAATTGAGATGAGCTATCAGCAGCAGGAGAGAGAAAAAGGTTCTCTCTCCTGCTCTCTCTCCTGCTACTGATAGCTCATCTCAATTGATTGGCCTCTTACAGTTGGTCTGGCTACTCCCACCTTTTCCTGTTCTCTGTATGTATAAATATCTTCTTACTGTGTGTTCCAGTCTATGCATCCGATGAAGTGGGCTGTAGCCCATGAAAGCTTATGCTCAAATAAATTTGTTAGGCTCTAAGGTGCCACAAGTACTCCTGTTTCTTTTAAGACTGCGGCAGCTCCAAAGGAGTGAGATGAAATGAGTTCCAGGGGGAGCAGAGGATCAGAAATCAGAAAGGGAGCTGCTATGCTCTAAACTGGCCAGAAGGTGGCGGCAGGTGAATATGAATGAATCCTGCATGCTGATAGACATTCCATTCACCTGTCTGGAAAATATATTTCTTATTTCAGATCTTACAACAAGCATATTTCTATAGCACTTCTATCCTGCAGGACTGCAAAGCAATGTATACACTATACATAAGGTTTACTTCCCCCACCCCTGCAAAGCAGCCCCCTCTTGGGTAGAGCGCAGCAGCTGCTTAACAGCTACACAGCAACACAACACAAATGTTTAGATGGGAAGTAAAGAATGCCTGTGGCATTCGAAACTTCAGGGGCAATTTAGGCAGGTAAATTATAGTCACCCCAACTGCATTCACAGCCCAGGGGAACTGGCACTGGAGTGGGAATCAGGAGACCTAAGTGTCACTCCCAGCTTTGACCCTGAGCAAGTCACTTCCCCCACTCTGTGTCTCAGTTTTCCCATCCATAAAATGGGCGTAATGATCTTGACCAGACTTCATAAAGCATGTTGTGATTCACAGCTAAACAGCAGCAACAGAAGTGCTAAGTTACATATTATTGCATGGTGCTTTCTAGGGCGTTAGCGCAGAAGTCTCTGTTTTCTCCTTGTGCCTGTGTTGAGACAGGGACGCTCAATGAAAGTAAAAGATGGCAAATTCAAAGCCAATAAAAGGAACTAGTTTTTCAATTAACACATAATTAGCCTGTGGAACTCACTCCCACAGGCTGTCATTGAGGCCAAGAAGCGAGTAAGAGTCGAAGAGGGATGGGAGACATTTATATGGAGAGCAAGGATATTCAGAGCTAAAACAATTAATGCAAGCAGAATTTTGGAAGGGATAAAAACCTCATTCTTCAGGGCTTAAACCAATCTTAGACTATTAGGGGTGAAAATGAGGCCTTCCTTGATAGCATGTTATCCCACACCTGCCTAGAGAAGGGTTCTTTCCTCTTCCAGAGGCATCTGGTGCTGGCCACTATCGCAGACGTGATACTGGACCAGATGGGCCTGGGTCTGATCCAGTCTGGCAATCCCCATGTTCCTAGGGACGGTTTTCTATCTGATCTGGGTGGGAAGGCTGTCAGTGATATCCGTTCCTTCTGCCAAAGCAGGGTGGCGCTCCATGAGACTCATTCTCTGCGAAAGATTTCAGCCTTTGCCACCATTAAGCCGGGCGAGCTGTAACAATACTGCCTTGACCTTGCCTACAAAGGGGGAAAACAAAGGGATTCCCTCCGGACTCACAGCGTTTCTTCTGGGGCGGGCGTCCTCCACTTCCTCGTAGATGGTGAGGGGCGGGTCACCGTCTTTGGAGGAGCCTTTGAAGAGACAGAACAAAGAGACTTGTGTAAGAGACCCCATCGCATGCCAGTCTCACAGCATGAAAGTTACTCCAGACAAAGCCCTCTGCTCAGGATTGCACAGGGTGTGGGCACCTTGCCACTAACATATCACCCACAGCCCTGATGTTTCCCAGAGCCACCCACCCTGGTCCCAGTGATCTTAGTCTAAGTCTCCTCTAAGTCTCTTGGCCTCCTACCCCAGGGTCAGGTTCCAAGCCGCAGTGCAGTAAATCAGGACGAGCATTTAACAATCTATAGACAAGAGGCAGTTTCAGGGGGTTACTATGGGTTTACAGGGCCAATTTCGCATGTCTTCGTCATAGATTTTCAGTCCAGAATGGAGTCAGAGGACCAGTGTGACCATCTAGCCTGACCTCCAGTATAGACAGCTCTTCGCCCATCCGTATGTGGCCCTCATGTTAACCTGCTTTCATGACCTGAAGGTGATGTTCCTCTACCGGACGAGTTTCCTTTTAACCACTTACGTTGCTTCTTCCGATGCTTGCAGAGGAAGATGAGGGCGAGCGTCGTGAGCAGAAGCAGCAGCCCCAGCCCTGCAGCAACAATTGCCCACAGTGGGACTTTCTGAAAAAAGTCTGTAAGAGAGAAAGGTGAAAAGCCGAGCTCTCGTTACACTGCAGAATGCCAGAGCCTTTCCTGACCCTTATTCTGCACCCTACTTTATAGCATGTTTATGATGGGTTAGTTAATGGGCAGTAGATGCTTTGGTAAGTGATAGATCAATTGTCACAGAGCCCAACAGACTGGGAGAAATATTGCCAACTGCTGGTATTCAATAAAATCATGAGCGGTTTTTTTTCTTTTATTTGCACTCTGGTTTCCAATCCTCTAGAGTTCACTTGGGTCATATTTTCAGGTTTGTCTCCCATTGATGGCTAGAAACTTACTTTAAAAAAAATAATGAAAGCTGAGGGTCTCACCTTGTCACCTGACTCCAGGAGTTGGAGCTTTAATGAAAATGCTTAAGGTCATAAGACTTGCAACAAAATCACAAGAGCCTATGGCATATAACCATCTGTAACACCTTCTACAGATGTGCTCACACACATATTACTCAGATCCTTAGCATGCTACTGGCCAAGTTGTGCAGCAGCAAGGCTGTCCAATCTAATCACCGGGACCCAATTCAGAGACTTTTAGCAAAAAATTAAAAAAAAGAAACAAAAAACAAAAAAACACCAATTGTTTAAGTAAATAAAAAAAACCCCAACAAAATAGACTTTTTGACATCAGTCTTACTCACCCCAAATACTCCCTACTATGTGTTACACAGGCCAGGTTCCTCCAGGTAACATGACCTTTCCTCATCAGCCTACCCAAGTCCATTGCAGAGAAAAGAAGTCCCTCCCCTGTTTCTCTGGATGATTGCCAGTTTGGCTGGCCAATCAGCTCACTTTCCCCCACTTCTAGTTCTATAGGGACATCACCCACAATGCTTGCGACTAGAGTGGGTCACAAATGTTTCATTGAAAAGATTTCACCAAAAAATGGCATTTTTTGAAGAAAAAAGAACTCATAGATTTCAGTGAAATTTTATCAAAATGCTTCATTTTTCCTCCGATGTCAAAACATCCCACTTTCAGAATGAAATGCTTTGCTTTTCATTCTGAAACAAATTTCGCTATTTTTAATTTTTTTTTTAAGTTGAAAAGGTTAAATAGGAGCACAATGTTCTCAGCTGATTGAAATGAAATGTTTTGATCGACCTAAAATGCAACTTCTTTAATTTTAATTTCATTTGGGAGGGAAATTTCAATTTTGTTTTGTTTTGTTCCACTGGGGCTTTGTAGGTGCTACCTCAATCATAATTATAGCAAAGAGACACTTCCTGAAGAGCTCATAATCAAGAGGAATAATGGCAGCTGTTTCCTTGAACAGCACCACTGGTTTTCCTGAGGTCTCCCATCCTCCTACTGAACCAGCTCAACCCTCCTATAGCAGGGACTGGGAGCGCTGACATCTGAAATTGCAGCTATATCCCTGCCTATCCCTTTACTGGGATGAGCTATTTGAATCCTAGAATCCCAGCAATGTCAGGCTGCAAGGGCCCTCCAGAGATCATAAAGTCCAGCCCCCTGCGCTGAGGCAGGACCAAATAAACCCAGACCAGCCCTGACAGGGCTTTGTCCGGCCTGTTCTTAAAAACCTCCAGTGATGGGGATTTCACAACCTCCCTGGAAGCCTGTTCCAGAGCTTAACCACCCTTAGAGCTAGAAAGTTTCTCCCAATATCTAACCTAAACCTCCCTTGCTGCGGATTAAGCCCATTGCTTCTTGTCCTACCTTCAGTGGACATGGAGAACAATTGATCACAGTCCTCTTTATAACAGCCCTGCACATATTTAAAGACTGCTGTCAGGTCCCCCCATCTTTTCTCAAGACTAAACAAGTCCAGTGTTTTTTAATCTTTCCTCACAGATCAGGTTTTTTAAACCTTTTGTCGTTTTTGTTGCTCTCCTCGGAACTCTCTGCAGTTTGTCCCCATCTTTCTTAAAATGTCACACCCAGACCCGTACACAGGATTCCAGCGGAGGCCTCACCAGTGCTCGGTAAAGCGGGACAATGACCTCTCGTGTCTTACCTACGACACTCCTGTTAACACACCCCAGAATGACATTAGCCCTTTTGGTAACTGCATCACATTGTTGACTCATATTCAATTTGTGATTCATTGTAACCCCCAGACCTTTTCAGCAGTACGACTCCCTAGCCAGTGGTTTTACTGCAAACATGTGCAGACCACGTGTCCCCTGCACTGGGAGCAGAAGGTAGCGTGAGGTTTGTGGTGGTTCTTAAATCCTGCAGGAGGAACTTCCATGGTCTTGGACCAGGCCCCCAAACCTGTTGCCTTCGCAGACGAGCTTTACCCTGTTCTAAACTGTTTCGCTCGCAGGGTCCTCCGTGCTGAGGTTTGGGAGCTGAATTTACACAGGCTGTTTGGAAAATCCCAATCCTGGCTAAAAGGCTGGTCAAAATTTTTCCTTCACACATGTTTTGACTGAAAATTGCTTTTTTTTGGTTAAATAAAATGTTTTCATGAAGAGCATCTGCTTCTGGTGGAAAATTTTGAGTTTTATGTGGGAAAAAACACAAAAATAAAAGAAACATGGGCTTTAGCCAAAAATGTTCAGGTTTTGGCTTGTTGATGAAAAGTCTCAATGTTGTGTGGAAAATTTAGATTGAAACAATTTTGTTATTTTGTGTAAATTTTCTCCATGTTCGGGGAGAGGGGAGAAATGTTTCCCAGAGAGCTCTACCTATCCCACAATCCCTACCTCACTTCCCAGCTGCCTCTGCCCCGGGTGACAGTGGGCAAGGCACATCCCTGTTCTATGCCTCCAGTTCCCCATTTGTCAGATGAGGGGGGTGATACTGCCCTCTTTTGTGAAGTGCTTGGAGATTTCCAGCTGAAACGTGCTATATTCAAGTTATTAGTCAAAGAGAGCAAGATTCACACTAGTGGAAACACACCAGTATCACTGAAATCTATAAAAAGAACAGGAGTACTTGTGGCACCTTAGAGACTTTAGCCACAAGTACTCCTGTTCTTTTTGCGGATACAGACTAACACGGCTACTACTCTGAAAACTGAAATCTATGATACTATCCACCAGAGCTCTGGCTGTTCCAGACCCAGAGGCCCATGCATTTCAAATGCTAAGTTGCAGAAGACAATAAATCCACACATTTATTCTGCTGAGGAATATTTACCTGTGGCTGGGGAGTCACACAATAATTTGACATCTACAGTGTTGGTGGCCCAGCTGGCTCGGTTCCTAGCGTTACATCGGTAGAAGACGTCACTGCTGTTTGCATTAATCACTACGTGCAGCAGGGATTGGTGCCCATGGAGCTGATGGTCCCAGTCAGACGGGATCCAGGACGTGCCTCGGGACCAGCCGTAGGTGACTCTGTCAGCACCAGGCACGGAGCAGGACAGGGTAACGTTGCACTGGCCGAGCTCCGCGTGGGCAGAGAGCACCATGATGTTTGGCTGCCGGACTCGGTCTGAAAGGAGAGATCCTGGTGAGAGAGGCTGAGGAAGGCGGCTGCCGTCACTGACACATACTAGGGAAAAACGTGATCTTTGCTACTCACCGAACACAGAGACACGGAACTTTGTGCGGTTTTCACGGCCTCCTCCAGTGTCAATTATCAAGGTATAGAGGCCACTGTCTGACTTTTTAACGGGATCAATCTGCAGTGAGAGATTCTCAGGGTGGAAAGTGACTCTGTTGATAAAATGTGGGGATGACCCATGGTCAGGGGGTTCCCCTTTATTAAATGTTACAATCCCATATGTCTCTCCTGAGTCTAGTGTAACCTCCCAGGTCATTTCTGCCCAAGGCTCCAGCAATTCCACTGGCAGTAACTGGACGGATTCCCCTGCAATTACAGCCACTTCCATTTCTTTGCAACCTGGGGGTTCAAAAATACAAAGAGCAGGTGAGTGAAGGGTTAACTGGGTCCCCAGCTTGTCAGGGAAACATGGGAAAAACAGGGTCATTTCCTGGCCTGGCTTAGGGGTGCGTGAATTTAGTGCTGGTGAAAGGTACTGAACTGATCAGCCTGGAGTCCTCTATTACACCACAGAGCGGCTGCACCCCAGGCTGTGTGCATCAGCACTGACCTGCACCGGGGCGGGGTCAGCCCCCGTGGCCAGTTCGATCCTTGCTCCACCCCACTTTTCACTGTGGCGGGGAAAGGGGTATCCACCACGTCCCACTCCCTGGGGAGGCTGATCCAGAGCCCCACCCATTCCACTGTCTCACGCTTCTTAGAGCGGTGGAATGGGGTTGTGGCTAAGGCACTGAGCCAGGCCTGGGGACACCTGGGTTCAGTGTGGCCAGCTCTGCCACAGATTCCAGGGGTGACCTTGGGCAAGTCGCTTCACCTATCTGTGCTTCAGTTTCCCTCCTAAACGTGGGGCTTCTCTTTCCTTCCAATCTCTGTCTTGTCTCTTTAAAGTGTCAGGTCTATGGGGCAGGGACTGCGTCCGTGCAGCATCCCACATGTTAATAACCCCTGGCTCTTATCGGTACATCTCAAGGTGTTCTCCAAAGGAGGGCAGTTTCATTAGCCCCATTTTACAGCTGGGGAAATTGAGGCACAGAGACGGGTAGTGGCTTGCCCAAGCTCACTCAGCAGGAGAGCTAGGAACAAGCACTCAGGTCTGCTGAATACCAGAGCAATGCTCTAACCACTCAGCCACACATGATGGCCCCTGGGGACTACCAGAATATCATCGCTGATACTCCTGGCTAGATGTTCAGTCTCCCTGGCTCTTCCGGGCCCCAGATTCTTTCTTCAGTCTGTCAGCAAGGTTGGGAAGTGAGATTTCATCCATTAGTATTTACATGACAGTGCCAAGTGGGATGGTCTTACGGACTGTACCTTGGACCCCTTTCCCCAGAAGCTGCACGGAGCCCCACGCTCTCTTTTCACACCCGCCCCGGAGCAGCCCCTGGGCGCTAGCAGCTCCTGCAAAGCGTCAAGCTAAAAAGCTCTTGAAAAATAACCCCCAAGAGTGTGAGCATTTTCTGCTCATCTGCCTTTTCCTGTGTGTGGTTAAGTAGGTGCCATGGTCTCCGAGCCAGCGGCGCAGATAAGCTGCTCTGGGGACCCTCAGAGGAAGGACAGGCGTGTGCAAATGGGGCTGTTAAACAGCTTCCCTCTTTCCCATCACAGATGCTGCACGTAGAGAAGGAGTCGGGGGCGGGGAGCAGGATTGCTGGGACCGGAGCTTCCACACTCGATCAGATCATTGGTCCATCTAGCCCAGCCTCCCACTTCCAGCAGCACCCACCAAGGTGCAGGGCAGAAGCTGCTGTGCCCGGCAGGGGCGGCTCCAGGCCCCAGCGCAGCAAGCGCGTGCCTGGTGTGGCAAGCTGCGGGGGGCGGCCTGCCGGTCGCCGTGAGGGCGGCATTCAGGCAGCCTTCGGCGGCATGCCTGTGGGAGGCCCACCGGTCCCACGGCTTCGGCGGCGGGTACGCCAAACGCGCGGGACTGGCAGATCACCTGCAGAAATATCGCCGAATCCACGTGACCAGTGGACTGCCCGCAAGCATGCCGCCGAAGGCCGCCTGACTGCCGCGCTTGGGGTGGCAAAAAACATAGAGCTGCCACTGGTGCCCGGTACGAGGACAGCGCTGTTGTTACAGACGCTTTCCTCCCACACCCACTCCCTGGGACGCAGGCAGCCACAGCAGGAGACAGAGGGCCTGAGTGTCATTCACACCGATTTTATAGGGACAGTCCCAATTTTTGGGTCTTTTTCTTATATAGGCTCCTATTACCTCCACTCCCATCACGATTTTTCACATTTGCTGTCTGGTCACCCACCGAGGCCCCTTTACGAGGCCTGAGAGTATAAATAAGATTCTGATGTTCAGGGCTCAGTTCTCAGTTGTGCTCAATTTCTATTTGGCTCAGCACTGGGGGCGGGTGGGTACATGGGACCTTTCCACTCTGCTTATCTTGGGCATCCCAGAGACTGGAATGGTCCCTGGTGTAACTTAGATCAGCTTCAGGGCTGCTCTAACTTACCGTGTGCCACCAAGCATCTGTCGGAGCTTTGTGGGCTCTGCCCCACCCCCTCCTGAACCTGGCATGCTGCCTCCCCGGTCCTCCCTGACACACTCCCTACCCAAGACTTCCCCTGAAACAGGGAGAACCCTCAGCTGCCAGTTTCCAGCAGCCTCGTGGTGGCTCAGTGGCGTAGAGGCCTGAGCCTCTCAGTGAAACTGACTCCCGGACAGCAGCCTAGCACGGGGCCTACGCGGAAGTGAGGTCTCACTTCAGCCCACAGGACCCAGGGCTGGCCACTGTACAGTGAATCACACACTTAGCTGCTGCCTCGAGCCGGCCGGGCTTAGAATAACACTGTGGTCTGTGCTAACGCCTCTGTGTATCTTCCGCTCAGCAGTCAGTCTGCGCTGGATTTAACTCACAGGTCAGTCTCTCCCCGAGACGCATTCTCCAAAACAGAGCAGTCCGTGTTAGCTTTACACTAGGGTTGCCATTGGGGTTGGAGGTATTCCTGGGGTTGGACATTTTTCTGAAGGTTTCAGCACATGACAATCTTTAATTAAAGATTAATCTTGAATTCCTGGAGACTCTCCAGGACAATCCTATTGGCAGCCCTAGTTAACACACACACCCTGCCCTCTCTTCCCCACACACTTTTACATAAATAGCCACAAGGACAAGGTTGAATTACATGAGAACAATCAAAAGGAAGACGCTAGAATAAGTATTGTCCCATGCTCAGTATGACACCAAAACTTAGGTTTACTCTTTAAGAAACTGAATATTGTAATAAATAAGAATCCGTTTTTCGTAGAGGGCTTTTCATCCATTGATCATCATTATCCTCATTTTACAGGTGGGGAAACTGAGGCACGGAGCAGGGAAGTGACTGACACTATGCATCATTGTGGAGCTGGGAATGGAACCTGGAAGGGGGAGGGGAGGCAGATCCCCAGCTGGTGTCAATCAGAAAACGCATCTCCATTGCAGGCAATGGAGCTATGTCAGTTTATACCAGATGAAGATCTGCTCTCGCTCGCTCCCACTCCAGAGCCCTATCCATGGATAGCACACAGCGATGGGCCTGATTCTCATTTACCCTAAGGCCCCTTTACACCCCTCTGCCAGCGTAAAGCAGCCTTAAAGTGAGAACATCTGTAATTTACATCTACTTACAGCCCCTTTAACACGGCCAGCGTGATATAAAGGGATCTTCGTGAAAATGAAACTCGGGCCCGAAATGTTTAGCGCTTTTAACCTCTCCTGACAAATGAGTTTTTCTGGCCCCGGGATAATTTGTGCTGCTTGTCCATGAATTCCCTTCAGTTTGTAAACTCTCCTGTACTGAATTATCCAACACTGAACTGAGAAACACACAATCACCTCTCTGTTCCGTGATGTGATACTTCTGCATATGCTTCCCCAAAGCACATCAGCTTGCCCCTTGCTGCGCCTATCTCTTTCACAGCTCATGCCCAGGCCCCTAAGCCTCCTTGAACGCTGACAAATGCATAGCGGGAAACTCGCCTGTGTGTTAGTGTTATTACCATCGATAGCAGAGTCATAAAAATGTGTCCAGACTTTATGGAATGCTTGTAGGATGCTGCATGTTTTAATCCTACTTAGAATATCTGTCTCCCATGCCAGAAGGTGATGTTCTAATGTTTGCTCTGTAACTAAAAACATTTGCTGAGACTGTAGATCCCCCCCAGACAGGGGAGAAGCAATATGAAGTGCGAAATGCTAGTTTACCACAAGCAGGGTTCTCTCCTCCCCACCACCACAAGGTGTACAGACACCAGACAAACCGCTGTGGATAGAAGCCTTTGTTGATTGTGCTTCCCCCACACCTCTGAAGAGGGGACATGTGCAAGCCCACGTCATGTGGGGGGAAGGGAGTACAAATGCCTGTTTAGGAGAAATTGGTCTCTTTATGCTGTCTGGAGTCTGAGGGGCAAAGATTCCTAAACATAAGTGAGAGATCCCCCAAGCTGCTTGGCTTGGGTTAGCCATTAAGGACGTACAAGCTTGCTTATTAACGACACATCTATTGCCTTTTGTGTATGTTCACCTGCTTTAACCTTGTCAATAACACTCATTTCTTTTTCCTAGTTAGCAAACCTTTAGTTAGGTTGTTACAGGATTGGTTACAAGAGTTGTCTTTGGGTTAAGATACCAGTGCAACTGACCTAGGGTAAAAACAACGGCACCTTAGAGACTAACAAACTTATTTGGGAATAAGCTTTTGAGGGCTAAAACCCACTTCATTAGCTGCATGGAGTGAAAAATACAGAAAGCAGAATAAATATTTCAGCACATGAAAAGATGGGAGTTGCCTTACCGAGAGGGGGGTCAGTGCTAACGAGGCTAATTTAATTAAGGTGGAAGTGGCCTATTCTCAACAGCTGACAAAAAGGGGCGAATATCAAAGGAGGAAAATTACTTTTGTAGTGCTAGTCAGAGTGCCCAAGGGGACTGTCTGGGGCTCCCTATTAAGGGGGAG